ATTTAAGAGACTACAATTTGAGGGGTTTTTGGTTGGGTGTTTGTTGCTGTTGTTGATCCTGGAGCTTAAACTCTAGGCCTGGGCACTGTCCCTCACCATTTCAGCTCAAGGCAAGCATTCTACCACTTGAGCTACAGAGCTTCTCCAGTTTTCTAGTTCTTTATTGGAGATAACAGTCTCTCAGACTTTTCTTTCACCAGGCTGGCTTTAAACTGTGATTCTTAGATCTCAGCCTCCTGAGTAGCTAGAATTATGGGCCTGAACCCCAGTGCCCAGCTACAACTAGAGTTCTTGAAGTGCCTAGCATGCATGAAACCCTGGGTTTGCTTCCTCAGTACCACATAAACAGAAAAGGCCAGAAGTGGTGCTGTGATTCAAGTGGTAGAGTGCTAGCCTTAAGCAAAATAAGCTCAAGAACAGTGCCCAGGCTCCAAGTTCAAGCCACAAGACTGGCAAGGGGGGGGGGGGGGAGGGGGAAGAAATGTACTCATTACCTTACTCATCTTTACAATAAGAGAAACTTGGGGCTGGGAAGGTGGCTCAGTGGTAGAGCGCTTGCCTTGCATGGCTGAGGCCCTGGGTTCGATTCCTCAGCACCACATAAGCAAAAAGAGAAAAGCCGGAAGTGATGCTGTGGCTCAAGAGGTAGAGCGCTAGCCTTGAGCTGAAGAGCTGAGGGACAGCGCCCAGGCCCAGAGTTCAGGCCTCATGACCGGACCCAAAAAAAAAAAAAAAAAGAGAAACTTGTCTATGTGTACTTTTTAAAAAGTGAATCATGAGATTTCAAAAGTATACTCTTCTTTGCTTCCTTAGTATTATATATCTGCCTCCTGATGTATTAGTATATAAAATAATACTTAGAACACTTAATTTAGTTTGTTTTCTAAAAAATGCTTTTATTTCAAAATTTAAAAGCCCTCAGAAATACTCAGTGTACATGTAACAAAAATCTTTTACTATGACACGAGCCTTCCCATAAGTGCGGCTACTCAGAAGGTGGAAATAAGAGGATCCTGGTTCAAGGCCAACCTGGGCTAGAGCAAGACTCTGCTCCCCAAAAGGCATAAAAATCCAAACCGAAAAGACACAAAATATAGTTTAAAATTTTTATTTATTTATTTTTTTTTCGGGCTGAGAAGGTGGCTCAGTGGTAGAGCGCTTGCCTTGCCTGCATGAGGCCCTGGGTTCGATTCCTCAGCACCATGTAAGCAAAAAGAAAAAAAGCCGGAAGTGGCGCTGTGGCTCAAGTGGTAGAGTGCTAGCCTTGAGCTGAAGAGCTGAGGGACAGCGCCCAGAGCCAGAGTTCAGGCCCCATGACCGGATCCAAAAAAAAAAAAAAAAGACACACTATATAAAAATTTTAAAGGAGGCCAGATACTGGTGGCTCATGTCTGTAATTCGGGCTCATGTCTGTAATTCGGGCTGGGATCTTAGGATGGAGGTTCAAAGCCACCCCTGGCAGAAAAGTCTGTTGGACTCTTATCTCCAATAAACCACCAGAAAGCTGGAAGTAGAGCTGTGGCTCAAGTGATACAGAGCATTAGCTCTGAGTGAAAATGCTTAGGGGTAGCACCCAGGCCCTAAGTTTAAGCCCCAGACTCGGCACTAAAAATTAAGCCACAGCAGCACTTCCAGCTTTTTTCTTTTTGCTTATGTGGTGCTGAGGAATTGAACCCAGGGCCTCGAGCATGCAAGGCAAGCGCTCTACCACTGAGCCACCTTCCCAGCCCTATATATTGTCTCTTATGTCAGTTTGTGGAATAAGGTGACGGATCTAACACCGCTTCTTTCGCTTTAAACCGTACTAAAGAACACCAGGCATGGAACCACACACGGGGAGGCTGAAGCAGGAAGTCCAAGTTCCAGGTCTACCTGGGCTACACAGAGAGAACTTGTACCAATCAACGAGCAAGCAAACAAACCACACACTTACCAAAAAAAACCCTTATTTATATTTCTTTTTTAAAAAAAGAACTATTTCCAGAGGTATAAGCTAACAAGGGTAAAGAAAAGAGGAGAGACAACAGAAAAAAATGAAGAACAGGAAAGCAGATGGACAACAGATTACCATCAAGGTGGAGAGCCAAGAAAAGCCCCATCTGAAACTGAGAAGCTGAGAGGCAGCCCACGCACGCTCCCTGCCCTCCACGCTCCCAGTCCCTCGGAAGGCAAGGGGGTCTGCAACAGAACTGGCTGCAAGCTGTTGAAGGGCAGGTCCCCAGAACATCTCTCACATTCAAACTGCTGAACATCAGTCTCTAGAGAATGCAAAACTCAAGTTCTCTGGGCCAGGAGACACCAGGCTCAAGGGTGAAGAAAAGTCCTACTATCAGAAAACCAGAGCTTTAAATGACATGCAACCCACTTCTGCCACTCAGCCACCAGCTGAGAATGCCACCAGCCACACCTGCAAGCTCCAAGCTCTCAAAGACTGAGCTAAAGGTACTAACAGGAGACTGGCTGCTAAAACAATGAAAATCACTCATGGTTAAGCTAAGGCCCACCTACTCGCCCAGAGCTTCCAATTAACTAGATAGTTCTACCATGTTCATTAGGAGCAGAAAATAGATTAATAGACATCTGAAAATGGAAGAGAGAAACCAAAACAAACAAAAGGAAGTAATTTAGAAGAAACAAGACTATACAAAGGGGAAAAAGCTATAATTAATATCCTCGGAAGCGAAGCGAATAGTCAGAGCAAGCCTGTTATCTCAGCATTCAGGAAACTGAGGCAAGAGGACTGAGAGTTCTCAGCAGGATTTTTCTAGGGAAAGGGGTTTAGCACTGGGATCGGAACTCAACCTTGTACTTGTTCAGCTGTTTCTTTAGCCCTTGAGCCAAGCAAGCTTTTTGCCAGTTATCTTGGAGATGGAGTCTCAGCCCTTCTTACCTAAGCTGGCCTCAAATCACTCTGCATCTGAAGCTTTTGAGTAACTAGGATTCCAGGACTGAATCACTGGTACTGAAAATTTTTTGTTTTTTAGGTTTTATTACTTTTAAAAAGAAAAATTCTAGCTAGGTTCCAGTGACTCGTGCCTAGTCTATAATCCTAGCTACTCAGGAGACTGAGATCTAAGGATCTAATTTCAAGTCAGCCTGGGCAAGAAAGTATGTGAGACACTAATCTCCAATTAACCATCAAAAAGCTAGAAAGAGCTGCAACTCATGTAGTAGAATGTTAGTCTTGAGCACAAGACTAACAGGGATAGCACCCAGGCGAGTTCAAGGCCCAGAACTGACACCTAAAACCAGAAAGATTCTAGGATTATTGTTTTCTAAGCTTCTTAGGAAAAAAATAGAAAAATATGTTAGTCAAAGTAGTAGGTAGCAGGGTTAGGAGAACAAGATAAGAAAACCTTTGAGAAAAACTGAGTAACTCAAAGAGGAAATAAACATAGATGAACACTGGAGAGGAAAGATAAGAACATCAGAAGACCAAAATAGGAAGCACAACATTCAATAAAATAATAACAACAGAGAAAGAAGAGGAGGAAGTTGTCAGAAGAGTTCTCAGAACCAATGGACACACTTCACTACCAAACGGTGTCCAATGGATAAAACTAGACCCACATCTCATTCTACACCTACAAATTACCCAAAGCTTCCAGCCAAATCCCTCATACACAATCAAGAATCAGAAGCTGGGGGGCTGGGAAGGTGGCTCAGTGGCAGAGTGCTTGCCTTCCATGCATGAGGCCCTGGGTTCGATTCCTCAGCACCACATGAGCAGAAAAAGCCAGAAGTGGTACTGTGTCTCAAGTGGTAGAGGCTACCCTTGAGCTGAAGAGCTGAGGGATAGTGTTGAGGCCCAGAGTTCAAGTCCCACAACTGACAAAAGAAAAAAGAAAAAAAGAAAAAGAACCAGAAGCTGGGTATGATAATGCCTACCGTAATTCCAGCTCTTTAGGAGATAAAAGTAGGAGGATCATAAAGCTAGCTTGGGCAAACCTGGCAAGACTCTACCTCAAAAACAAAATTTAAAAGAGTAGCCTGATGCCCTGATTACAACTGAAGTGTCTGCCTGGCCTTGCCACGTGAGCCTGGAAGGGCATGTTGAAATCCTCCAGTGAGGGGCTGGGAAGGTGGCTCAGTGGTAGAGCGCTTGCCTTGCGTTCATGAGGCCCTGGGTTCGATTCCTCAGCACCTCATAACAAAAAGAAAAAAGGTGGAAGTGACACTGTGGCTCCAGTGGTAGAGTGCTAGCCTTGAGCTAAAGAGCTGAGGGACAGCGCCCAGGCCCAGAGCTCAGGCCCCATGACCGACCCCCCCCCCCAAAAAAAAAAAAAAAAAAGAAAGAAATCCTCGAGTGACAGCTAGCTATGGAACCAAACCAGATGTACCTGAGTAGATGAATGCATCAAGAAAATGTGGTATACACACACACACACACACACAATGGAATTCTATGCTTCCATCAGAAAGAATGACACCATTTGTTAGGAAATGGAAAGATGTGGAAAAAAATCCTATTAAGTGAAGTAAGCCAGACCCAAAGAAATTTAGGTCCCATGGTTTCCCTCATTTGCAACAACTAGTATATGTCTAGGACAATTTTATCAGATGAGCAGACAAAGTTTAAAAGCTATGTACATATGACCATATAAGATGATGCTAAGTGAAATGAACCCCAGGATATGGACACACGAGGCCTTTCCTTGTTGTTGTTTTAAATGTACTATGTGATTTCTTTTTCACTTGTTTCCTTTGTGTGGTCTTCAGCCTGGTACATCCCCTGCTGTCACTGTACTTGATTTTGGTACCCTGCATCTTGTATATACATTTGTCTTGTTTGGGGAGGGGAAGGGAAATAACAAAACGCTGAAACAAGGACACAGGATGACCCACTGCAACAATGATACCCACAAGACATTATCTTGGAATTCAACTTTACAACATGGGGGGGAGGGGAGGGAGGGAAGAGATATAGTGGGAGAACAACAAGGGAAAAAGTAACAATGCTCAACAAGATATGTACTCATTCCCTCACTCATGGAACTTACATTATGAGTCTTCGGTTTAAGAACCAGTATTTCCTCCGACTTCGATCATATCCAATAGGCTCATGTCGAATGTACGGTTTGTTCTTTTGGATTTCAGCCACACAGTCAGTCACGCCAGGCACCTTGTGTGCGACGCACACTTCACACTGCCACTCGTCCTCTGGCACCTCCTCAAGAGGGGGCTTCACACATTCCAAATGGTAGACAGCTGAACACGTCTCACAGCAAAGCAGGTCCCCAAGTTTGTGACACACCCTACAGTGGTCGTCATACTGGATCACCCCTTCCGACATCAACTCCTCACGAGCAATGTTTGTCGTAAGAAACTGATCGACTAAAAACTGCAGAACTTTGATTTTGTTCTCCACGGGTCCATAGGGGTAGTCCTCCGCCTCCTGGTAGGGCAGAACGTGGTGGTACTCCCTGTCGCTCTCGCAGTACACCCGCAGCACCTCCGGCCAGGTCATTCCGTCTATGAAATACAGGGTGGAGTTGACACTGTCTTTCAGATCCGCAGGCCCAAAGGTAGTATTGGAAGTGTCTTCCTCACGCAGCACGGCTTTCAACAACACCACGTGCATCTCCGCCATGAGCGTGCACTGCTCCTGGCTTACCAGAGCTGCGCAGAAGTCCTCAAAGCGAAAAGGAGACAGTCTTAAAACAGTGCCAAAGTTCCGCAGTACCTCATAAATGGCAATAACATTCATTATATGCTCATTAGGCACCATTAAATCCTCAGAGGACTTGGGAAATTCGAGGGGGGGGATGTCCTTTTCCTCCAATATTGGAGAACGAGGTCGATGTACTCTCGGTTTTCGTCTACCTGCAAACAAAGAAACGCATGATAGCATTTGTAATGATATACAAATTTATACACCACACTGCTGCCACAAACATGGGGTTCTCCCGATTTCCCTGTAACTCTCAAGTTAAAATAGAGCCACAAAAGGGACTGGGGACTGTAGATCGGAGGTAGAGCTCTACCAGCCCGGAAGCCTCAAGGGCCTGGATATCATCCCCAGGATTATGAAACCCACTATAGAGAAGCAGCACTTTGAGTTCTCATCTTATACTGTACAGAAAACAGAGATTCAGAGCTCCACAGGGAGGCAGGAGCTCAGGACAGAAGCAGGAAGTAAAGGGGAGGAGGTAGCTATGAGCAGGGAGGGGAGAGGAGAGGACCTCCAACGCTTGGGAGAAAAAAGTATCTTGTTTAGGAAATGGACAAAAGGCCATGGATATCATCAAGTCAGTTCTCAGATGTGTGTGACATCTTTGGGACAGCTTACTTTGTAACACATGTACACATCTCACTTGACCCTCTGAACAAACACATGGGGTACTATGATCTGTCTGTTAAAATGAGAGAACTTGTTAACCAAACAAGCTCCTCCTAAAGTTAATGCCTGTAATATTATTATTGTTACAGTTTCCGGCGATGTCTACAGAATGGTAAATCTCTACTTTTCAAAAAGGAACAGTGTTAATGAGATTCACATTGAACTCCCTCTTGTACAATTCAGTTTTATTAGCCCTGATGTGAAGCTACCATTCCCTGGAAAACTTCACCTCTACCTTTACTCTACCATCTACAAATTAGTCATACAAGATACTAGAGGAGAAAAAAAAAAATGTCAAGATTTTTACATTTATACAATGCAATCCCAACCACTCACCAGCAAGCAGATGTTTCAAGTAAGAATATACTCAATACTTTCTGTGGGAGTCTGGTCACTGTAAGACTTTGCTGCACAAGCATAACCCAGGGACAGTAAAGGAATGAGAGAAACAGTGAGCCCAGAGACTCTCCCTGGATGACAGCCATTGAAAACAAAGTAGCTCATAACTGAACCCAGAGCTGCTCACCCAGCAAAGCCCTGCGATCCACAGTCCCCAGAGCTGACATCTGTCAGTCTTTGGTTGGTTTTAGAGGTAAAGGAAGGTGGCCAGAGACTTCTGTAAGTTACATATTGTTACCACAATATACTGAACCAAGTGAGCATGTCTCACATTGTAAACTTTAAATATTCATATGATACTTTCGGGGGAGACTACAAGCCTGAGTCAATTTTGTTTTTAAAGGCAAGTTGGCAAAGCCCTACTGAATATACTTCTGCCTCCGGGGATTTATCCTAAAGATATACACATCTAACAAAGTATAAAAAACAATTAATTCATCTGTGCGACTACCCAGACTACAAGTACCGGCCTCGGCGGAAAACCAAGAGCTCAGGCCCGGGCCTGCCCACTATGGCCAGGGAAACTACAGCCTGGCCCAAGGGGGCCTGCTCTGGGCAGCAGGATATATAGCCACCCAAGGGAGCAGAGGCTTTGGGTACCAGCCCCCCAACTACTCTACACCCTACCTGCCGACAGCTACAGCTCTACTTCGCACTATAGACAGGAGGCATCCTCACCAAGCTCCCTCCCTCAGTGACCCTAGGCTCCGGGGGAACTGCTACCTCCCCATGCAACCCAGGTCCTCCATACAATACTCCCCTTGCTGGTGTTCCGTGTGGCCCTAGCCTACCTTTCACACACACGGACCTCTCAGTAAATGAATGCCTCATCCTCTTTCCATCACAGAACCCTCTGAACTTTGGTTTAGAGGCTTACAGTTGAAGCAAAACCTATTTTTGTACAATTTAAAAAAAAAAAAAAAAAAAAAAAAAACAGGGCTGGGAAGGTGGCTCAGTGGTAGAGCACTTGCCTTGCATGCCTGAGGCCCTGGGTTCGATTCCTCAGCACCACATAAGCAAAAAGAAAAAAGTCGGAAGTGGCGCTGTGGCTCAAGTGGTAGAGCCCTAGCCTTGAGCTGAAGAGCTGAGGGACAACGCCCAGGCCCAGAGTTCAGGCCCCACAACCGGACCCCCCCCCAAAAAAAAAAATCTCCCCGGGCACTGGTACACCTGTAATCCTAGCTGCTCAGGAGGCTGAGATCTAAGGATCACGGTTCAAAGCCAGCCCGGGCAGCAAAGTCCGTGAGACTCTTCTCTCCAATAAACCACTAGAAAACCAGAAGTGGCGCTGTGGCTCAAGCAGTAGAGCGCTCGCCTTGAGCTGAAAAGCTGAGGGACAGCGCCCAGGCCCAGAGTTCAAGCCCCACGACTGACCCCCCCCCCCAAAAAAAAAAAAGAAAAGAAAAAAGAAAATCTCAGGCCAGGCACTGGTGGCTCATACTGGTAATCCTAGCTATGCAGGCATCTGAGATCTGAAGATTGTAGTTTGAAGCTAGCCTGGCCAGGAAAATCCATGAGACTCTTGTCTCCAATTAATCACATATACACACAAAAAAGCTGAAAGTAGAGCTGGGGCTCAAGTGGTAGAGTGCCAGCCTTGAGCAGAAAAGGCTAAGAAAAAAGGATAGCACAGTACTAGCGCACACATGCGCAGGCACACACACACACAACCTCAAGCAGGGGCTGGGAAGGTGGCTCAGTGATAGAGCGCTTGCCTTGCATGCATGAGGCCCTGGGTTCAATTCCTCAGCACCACTTAAGCAGAAAAAAAGGGAAGTGGCACTGTGGCTCAAGTGGTAGAGCGCTAGCCTTGAACTGAAGAGCTGAGGGACAGCGCCCAGATTTACTTCAGGCCCCATGACCGACAAAAAAAAAAAAAAAAAAAACAACAACAATAAAAACCTCAAGCACTTTTATCGCGTTAATAGGAAAAAAAAGGGTAAATTTCTATGTACACACATAATACTGATATTCAGATAAAAATGATGCTCCTACTTATAACTGCGGATGGTCTTGTTTGACTACAAATATATGGTCACTTTACCAATTGCAAAGAGTCAGGTTTACAGAACTAACCATAGATTATGTATGTAAAGAGAAAACTCATAAAAGGAAACCACGAAAGGTCCTCAGCTGTCGAATCGCTAGTTATGAGCAAGTCATTTCAACAATTCACAGAAATGCATTTATCACATGTTATATTATTACTGTTCCCAACACTGACTTAACTATGTTAATTTTCCTGTACTAAAAAATTAAAAGGCGGCTGGGAAGGAGGCTTAGTGATAGAGCACTTGCCTCGTGGGCATGAAGCCCTGGGTTCAATTCCTCAGTACCACATAAACAGAAAAAGCCAGACATGGTGATGTGGCTCAAGTGGTAGAGTGCCAGCCTTGAGCAAAAAAAGCTCAGGGAGGGCTGGGAAGGTGGCTCAGTGGTAGAGCGCTTGCCTTGCATGCTCGAGGCCCTGGGTTCGATTCCTCAGCACCACATAAGCAAAAAGAAAAAAGCCGGAAGTGGCGCTGTGGCTCAAGTCGTAGAGCGCTAGCCTTGAGCTGAAGAGCTGAGGGACAGTGTCCAGGCCCAGAGTTCAGGCCCCACTACCGGACCCCCCCCCCCCAAAAAAAAAAAAAAAAAAAAAAAAGCTCAGGGACAGTGTCCAGGCCCTGAGTTCAAGCCCCAGGACTGGCAAAAAATAAAAATAAAATTAAAAACTTAAAAAAAAAAAGAAATGAGAGCCTAGCTCAATTGGTTAGCTCAACTGGTTAGCAGAAGGTTTACCTAGCATGCACAAAGCTCTGAGTTCAATCTCTGAAAGAAAAAAACAAAAACAAACAAACAAATAAGACAAAACCTTCATCTCCACCTCAAGAGTCAGCGGATAAAGGAAAAACCACCACTCACTAAGGGACAAAAATTTTAAGGTAAACAAAACAATTGAGAACAATGGAAATACCAGAAAACCTCCTGTGGTGAAGACTATATAAACTAGAAGGACAGCTTGAGGACAGTTCTGGTTATAGAAGGTTGCATCCACCCTGAAAGAACAGTCTCCAAACTTGTTTGCCCATGACTAACGTAGGGAATATATTTCACATCTTCATCTGGCACACAAATGCCTGAAAGTCAAAGTTCTACAGACCACTACTGTCCCCTCGTCTCCTCTCCCTCTGTGTCTCTACTGTTTCACTTTTTAAAAATGCTAGTTAAGGGCTGGGAAGGTGGCTCAGTGGTAGAGCGCTTGCCTTGCATGCATGAGGCTCTGGGTTCGATTCATCAGCACCACATAAGCAGAAAAAGCCAGAAGTGGTGCTGTGGCTCAAGTGGTAGAGTGCTTGCTTTGAGCTGAAGAGCTGAGGGAAAACGCCCAGACCCAGAGTTCAGGCCTCAGGACTGACCCAAAAAAAACAAAAAAACAACAACAAATGCTAGTTGAAGCCCACAGTTTGACAAATTCTTTTAGAAAAATTCTCCTAATGCATGTTCAGGACACTCAACATTGTTTATGAAAACAAAGAACAAACAAACTGAAAACAACCAAAAGGTTCACTAATAAGGAAATGATTAGGAAATTGTGGAACATTCACTTGGCAGAATTCTTTAGAGCAATTATGAGTGATTGAGGGCTGTGTATGTCAATATGAAGGAATCTTAAACATGGAAACAAACCACCTGCAATCCCACACTCTGGAGGGTGGGAGCAGGCGCAGCGGGAGTGTGAGGTGGGCCGGGGCCGGGGCTGCACACTGACCTGCTTCTGGAAAGAGAAGAGAACAAGAGAGGATGGAGGAAGGAGACAAGAAATGTTTGTTACCTTTTCACTCTGCAAACTCGGCACATATGGGAGAAATCCTAGAACAGTGGTCCTGAACTTCACACACCATCACGGTCACTAGAGGGCTGAGTCTGATTAAAATAGACTTCAGGGCTGGGAAGGTAGCTCAGTGGTGGAGCGCTTGCCTTGCATGCATGAGGCCCTGGGTTCCATTCCTCAGCACCCCATAAGCAGAAAAAGCTGGAAGGGGCACCGTGGTTCAAGTGGTAGAGTGCTAGCCTTGAGCTGAAGAGCTCAGGGATAGCACCC